CCAAGACGATGGCAAGGTGTACTTGCCAACTGCCGACCAGTTGTCGAACTCACGCTATGAAATCTTTCGTCTGTTCACGGGAAAATTCACGAGTGAACAGAATCTTAAACACCCCTTCACAACAGTTATGGCCACTGCATACGGACTCAGTAGTCAGGGACTTCGTCAGCTGACCAACAGCTCTACTGGATTGGAGATCGGCGACTTCAAAACACACGATCCGGAGAAGTTTATGCGTCAGCTGGATGCCATTGCCGGTGACATTGGGTTCACCTGTGGAACGCAGAAATTTGCGCAATACATTTCATAGTTGCCCAGTTCCGATGTGTTCAGTTATGTGTTTACGCACAAAACGAAAAATAACGGTTTTCCTCAGTGGACAGGCACTTTGCACGGCTATGAAATCGACTACGTCTTTGGGATGCCCTTTTCTGGTTTATTCCAGAATAACTTCTACCGATACACTTATGAGGAGGAACAACTGAGCAAGATTGTTATGATATACTGGGCAAATTTTGCCAAACATGTGTAAGCTTTCGACTAATGCCGCACTTATCAAGAAAATAGGCTACAAAAAGCCATTTGCACAACGACTCCCCCCCGTATTTTCTTTGTTTTAGACTTCCGGCGCAGGAATGGCCCTGATATGATGAGGAATGGGGAAAATACATGGAAATCGGTTTCAAGCTGAAGGTCAAGGAGCATTATCACGCACGGAGTGCAGATTCTGGAATCTCGTCTACCCCTCTCTCATCCGAGCCTTCCTGACTAAGAGAGGCAATGAAACCGTTGGCGTGTGCCCGAAACAGGAGCCCCACCTCTATCTTCCGAAGCCACTGGCAACATATTTATAGAGTGGACTGGGGTGTGTCCTGAACCTGTATGGGAAATAAAGGAATTACAAACAGGGTTCTTTTTATTTAAAGCCACAAGAAGTGAGAAGTGTTTTATTTTGGAAGAAATAAGGGGCTTAACAAACCTGGGCTCATATCGGTTGAGGCATTAGTTGTTTAATGTGATATAGTGTCACTGTGAATTTTTTGCATCGAACGGGGCGTATTTATGTATGAGGTTAATTGGGTACACCACTTAGCAACCCAGACGACTTTGTCGCTGATATTTCCCCGCTGCATAATTGATATAGTTCGTTAGTGTGAGATGTCCATATGTGTCAAGAAGATGCCTTCGACTATCTGGCAAAGTGTATGTGGTTGGCGTTGTAGGAGGCTGCCAGTTTAAAATCAGACTATAAGAACAGAAGATATAAAAACATATATCTGTTGATATGTAATGCCCACTCTAGGCGCACTTGCGAAAGCTCGTCGGGACTAGCTCAAGTCGAAATACACTTTAGGAATGCTTGCGGCTTTCGGGTTCTGGAACAGCCTATCACAGGCCGACTCACAGAGGACCTCATGTGACGACTGCCGAGCAGATATTACTTCCAATACCTTACCGTGGCTTGCAGTGGTGGGGTCGTTTGCTTTTCAACTTCTTCTTTCACTTATTCTATACAGGATACACCCTTCCTACCGCTCTGGCCTTCCCATCACTTCTCTTTTCTCCTCAGAAAACCAGTCTTGAAGATCGCAGCTGTTAGGGTAACCTTAGTAGCCTTAGCGCTCCTCGATAGATACGTAGTGCATGTCGCTTACGTTTGACTTGAGGACAACGGGTCGGTGCTTGTCTAGACCGCGGCATACAAACTAGCAATAAATAGACACTCCGCGGTAAGCTTTAGCTACTAACACAGTCGTAATCAGACCAGCACAGATGAAGTGAAAATGAAAGCTACTTCGCAGGAGGAGATTGAAACAACCTGCCAGCCGGTAAGGGAATTAAATGCATAGGCCCTTC